CTGAGCCAGCCACCCTTGAGAGCTTCCTGCTAAGGAAGAGCCCCCAAGCACTGACCATGTCTATTACGGACCACAGCCCCACCACTGGTGTGGTCACGGTCACTGTCATCCTCATCGACATTGCTGCGCTGGGGGCCTTGATCCTGGGCTGCTGGTGCTACCTGCGACTGCAGCGCATCAGCCAGTCAGAGGACGAGGAGAGCATCGTGGGGGAGGGCAAGACCAAGGAGCCCTTTCTGCTGGTACAGTATTCAACCAAGGGACCGTGAGGGGAGAGGAAGGCCAAGCTAATGACACCCAGTGGCCCAGAAGCGCACGGCTGATCCTGGCTATGAGGCTCCTGGTCCTGTCCGCAGCCGAGAGGCGCTGGGAGAGCGGAACACACACATGCTGCTGTTGGAGAGGAAGGGTTGACACTTGCTGGCGTAGCCTCAGCAGGCTCATCACGTGCCCTGACTCCGGGGGCCTGGCTGTGTTGGGCTTCCCCTTGGCCTCCTGGTGGGGCTGCCCATTGCAGGCAGTGGGTAGGCCTAACCTTACTGGGTTTTGTGGCCAGCTTTTGTTACTTGAATATTTAGCTGAGCCTGACTTGACGGAGCTACTCCTGTAATGCGTGAATGAACAAACCTGTGAACTGTAAATAGGCCCCAGAAGCACGTGCTTAAGCCTTTTTGCTGATTTTTTAAAGTATCACTTAGAGCACATGGGAGGAACTGGTTTGATTAGGACTGTACTCATGATGAACTGAGTCAAGACCATGGTGGGTCTTAGACTTTAGACCCAAGCTACAGGGGCTCTTAATGTCTATCTCTGTATCTATCTGATTAAAGGAAGTGAGGTATCAAGTGTTAGGTCTTATAGCTTACCAGCTGGGGTGCTTCGGTGATTTCTGCTTGGTTAGTACTGGGTCGAAGAAGAACCACACCCCTCCCTCTGTTGAGGACAGGCAGTTGTTAAATAGTAGTGCCTGTTGATGGCGTTATTGCAAGGAAGCTATGGTACCTGCCTGGAAGCCTGTGAAGGACACGTCAGGGCACGCGTCCCGAGAGCTGCCAGGCAGCTTGGTAGCAGAGCAGTTTCCTGTCCCTTTGGTCTTGTGCATGCTGAGTACATCCCCTTAGCTCAGGCTACATAGAAGCACCAGAGCCCGTGGTAGCTGCCTTCTGTCTGAAACCCAAATGGCCCAGCAAAGGAAACTTTCTTTTTGTATTTAATGTTCTCTGCACTGGTGAGGTGGAGGAGGCGGCTGCTGTCGTGTGTGTCGCCACCCCTCCATTCCTTTTCACAAGTTAGCTTCCTTTCCTCTCTGATGACCTTCCACCTGCTGGGCATTGGATTTCACTTTCCTCAGGAGGTCGCTGTGGATGGTCACGAGGCCCCTGACCCAGCTCTCACGGCACCGTGTGCAGTGGAAGGTCCTCTTTTCGTGCACATTCACATTTGCACAGGAGCGACCAGAGGCTCCCTGCCAGTCTGTGCTTAGTGCAGGGAGTAGGCAAGGGGTGGGAATTGAGTTCAAGACTTGGCTGCTCTCAGTCAAGCCCACACCTTGACCGTCGCGTCTCCAAGTTGTCCCTTGTGTACACTTCACTGAGCTCCCTTAGACTTCTAATCGCACCACTGACGTGTCTTCTGAACGTCATGATTCAAATGTGACGTGCGTTGGCATCTTGCATAATGAGCCAGAGGCCAGCCCAGGCTTCACCTCAGAGCACTGGCCTTATACGCTTGAGCCGGATGCAAACAGCATAGCCGGGGAGCACAGAGCTTGGGCCTCTTTGCCAGGCTGGTGGCATCGTCTCTGAAAAGCATGTTGAATTAATCCACTTTCCAGAACCCCTGTGGGGAACTACAGGGAGCACTTCCATTTCAGCAGCATTAAATAATGAGCTGGGTGGGAAGCGGGTAGCTAGTGAGGCCGCTGTGTTGGAGGCAGCACTGAACCACGAGTGGGTCCTGGGGCCCCTTAGGGAACAGGGGAGGATATACCTTTGGCCAAGTGGGGAAGAGATGGGGAAGGCCAATTGGACAAGCACAGGCCGTGCAGGCTGAGGTGGGCAGGGTGCATGGGGCCAGTAGTGGTGCAGTCACTGTGATGGGACTTGGAGAGGGGACAGAGGGCCCAAAGGTGCCAGCCAGTGATCTGTGAAGGAGGTAGTTGGAAAAGGCTGAGGCTTTTGATCCATCCCTTCCCATTTCAGACCTTCCGGGCTTTCTACCTCTACTCAAGTAGCCGGCAGCATAAGCACAAGCTGTTTGTTCTTCAGCTCCCTAGCCCAGCTGTCCACGAGTGGCTGGGATTTGCATTTTCTGAACCTGGCCCTGGAACTGACCTTTGCTCCACTGTCAGACCTGCCTTGCAGCGTTTACTGTGCCAGTGAAGCTTTGGCTTTTGAAATGATTGGATGTGGCTTTTTCACCAGTTTCACTTTTGGAGATTTTCTTATCCCAACCCCTCTGGTGGCCAGGGACATCTGTGGAGCTTGACTTGGGCCCATCAAAGTGGGATGGATGCATGGGTTGGGTGAAGCACGGTGGAGTCTTCAGGAGGAAGATGAAATGCCCAGAGAACTGGTGAACACTACATTACAGCTCTCCCTGTTAATATTTATCAATAACTCCTTTTTCTAGCACAGACACCAGTCACGCTCAGATGCTCAGTAAGTTATGACCTCTCTCAATTCTTTCTCAGTAACGCAACTGTTGCACTCAAGCTTTCTGGGTAGCCAGGAAATTAACCTTTCATCCCTCATGTCATGGAGGCAGCAGCAGTGGAGTGGGGAAGGAACTCCTGACATTGAGCCACTAAATTATAGACTAATTTTTCAGACCGCTCTTCACATGCGCTATTTTTGTCCCAAAGCTACCAAGTTTGTGCAACAAGTAGAAGGGATGTCATCCCTGTCAATAAAAGCTGAATAACATTCAATAAATAAATAAATAAAGTGGGTTTTTTTGTTTTTTTTTTTTTGTCTTTTTGAGATAGGGTCTCGCTATGCAGTTCAGGCTGACTTGAGCTCACTTTGTAGCCCAGGCTGATCTCAGACTCGCAATGATCCTCCTGCCTCAGCCTCCCGAGTGCTGGGATTACAGGCGTGTACCACCATACCTGGCTAAATCAAGTACTTTTAAATTTCATTTTGAAAACTGACATTATTATAACATAAATGAAAAGCAAGTGATGTTGCCACTTCTGTTATCAAATTTAAAATGGCACAACCCTTATGGAGAGTACTTTCGCAATCTGTATAAAGTGTTTAAAAGATATTCATGTCATTTTACTTTGTAGCTCCACGCCCTTGAAGCTAAACAATGTATGGAGAAAGTTTCATGTAGTCAGATGGTCAAGACCACTTCACAATAACAAAAGACAGAAGTGATTAACCAGCTAAACACATTATAATAATTTCTATGTAATGATACAAAGATATGAAAATTTTTAATCTTAAGGGATTTTTAAAGAGACAGAAATTTTTCCAGACGTGCTTTCTAACGTAAGTATAATTATTTCAAGTTTTACTGTACCTGTTACAGGAAACACACATGGAAAAAAAATCTTTAATGAAACCCACCAAAAAACTGGTGGCTGTCTTTCTATAACAGATCTTCAATAACTGACTCACTCACTCAAATGACTTTTACCCCTTTCCTGACCCTCCACGTGCTCCATTTGGAGTGGAAGATACCATTTCAGACACAGACTTGAGTTCCAAAACTCAGTGTGCGCACAGCACCAATGCTCACCTGGGCAGACACCAGCAGATGCGTTAGGAGAACGATGAGGAGGACGTACCACTTCTTCTTCTCACAGGCATCAAAAAATACAATCCCCCAGAACACGTGCAGCAAAATGATCACCAGCGTCATGAAAGCTGAAAGACAGTGAACCGTTAGTGCCCAGCCCTGCACTCCACAGACACCGAAGCCCACTGAACACCGTCACTATATAGGGCAGCGAGCCTGACCATATGTGACGGAAACAGGCCCTGGACACCTGTGCTAACAGTAACCCAGGAAGCAGTGCTTCAGAGGGGTGGGTCAGCCTCTGCAGCAGCTCTTCCTCTAAACGTGAACCTGTTCAACAAAAACCCCAACTCGGGTCTGGCTTTCAAGTGCTTTCCTGAGGAATGCGGTAAGATGACTGTAAAATCTAACCAGCTTTTCCCCAATTAGCTGTTGGCCCTATTTGAGAAAAATTTCCGATTAAAAGGGATATCTTCTGCTGAAACAAGTCTCCTTATGAAAGTGGAATTTTTCTTTGGAACATTTTTTTAAAGACTGAAGGAAAAATAAAGTAGTATTAAAAATCACAGTAATTATCTAAGGTTCTTCTTAAGCAACTGGCACTGAATTTGATCAGCGCTACAGGTTTCAGTGTGGAATACCGTGTGTGTGCGTGTGTGCTTGTACACACAGGGATCGGTGTCCTGGATAACATCCTTTATTTAAGTGGGCAAGTTCCTTATATTAACATCCATGAAATAGGAAAACTCCCAGTCTGGCAATTCTCTGGCAAAAAGCAATCTACCATTACCAACAAAATGAAAATTTTGCATTCTCTATTCCACTTTAACAATTCCAAGCTAGAGTTATACTCTGAAACGGTTGGTTCTCAAACCAACAGATCATCAGAACACAGGAATTTGAAAGAAATGCACATCACTAGAACCCATCCCACACCTGAATCAGAAAAACTGTTGTTGAGACCCAGCAATCCCAGTTTAAACAGCCTTCCAGGAGACTGTGCACGGTCAAGTTTCAGAAGCACTCCCTCTAGAGAAAGTCTCAGAAATGTGTACAGCAGATGTATACAAAATACACCAGCATTCTTCCTATAACCAAAAAACGTCCTTTGTTACCAGAACAGGAAAATAAATCATGGCATGTTCACACCATGGACTAGTGTAGATGACTCACAATATAAATGATCTCTAGACTCTAATGCTGAATGAAAAAAAGTACTATGGGAAAACAGTATTTCATCTGTATTCAGTAAAGAAAATCAAAATTATATTAAAAAGACATAACTGTTGTGGTTAGAGTAAAACAAAACATAAATCTTGTGACAGTTCCATCATTTCAGTAAATATTGGTAAATATTTTAACTAACAGAGAAGCAAATGAATAGCTTTTTAAACTTTGAGGCCAAAGCATACTAAACAAAAGTGTGTGTTTCAGTCCCACTGATGATTCTGGAAAAGGAAGCTCCCCTGGAGACACATGCCTGGTGATGGTGTGAGTTGAGACCAATGAAGATGCCTAGGAATTTAGTGAGGGTTTTAAATCTTTTCTACATCAGAAGAGACCAAGGCAGAAAGTGGTACAAAAGCAAACACTTATATTGTTAATCATTAAGTATTCATACCTTAGAACTTACGAGCCTAGGTTTTCTAAATTCTAGATGCCAACTGCATGTGAAGGAAAGCAAGGCCATATGAGCATGTCCTCTGGTGGGCGGCCGGCATCTGCGCCTGCTTTCTACACATTATCATGACTACGGAGAGGAGCCAAGAACACCACTCTAGTCAAGCCTTAGACTTCAGCTACTTGGGAAATACTCTTACTGGTGGGATTTTCAGTCTGTTCTTGTCCAAAAAAGCATTATTCTGCCAACTTCAGACAAGCATCCTCAAGACATCACTGGCTCTGACTTATTTCCAAATTCTAGGTATTTCTTAGCCCTTCCTACTAAGAAGTCTTTGACAGAATGACTTTGCTCCAAAATTAAGTCCAGACATCTCATACTAGCATTTAATGCCGTCTACTACCTAGACCCAGTCATCCTGACAACTTGTCCCCTACTAATCTTCAAGTATATCCTTTATGGCCAAAACCCGGAACTTTTCCCCATTCATATTCTCTCTTTCTGTTTGTTCACTGTTCCCTCATAACCGCCCTTCCTCATTTCACCTATCCAAAACTTTTTCTTTTTTTTTTTTTTTGTTCCAGTACCAGGAATCGAACTCATGACCTTGTGCTTGCCAGGCAGGCAGTATGCTGCTGAGCCAGCCCCCAAATCTTTTTTGTACTGGGCTCAAACCCAAGGCCTCAAGTATGCTAGGTAAATGCTCTGCAACTTAGTTAAGCCCAACTCTTCTAAAATTTCTTTATTTTCAGACAGGATCATGCTAAGTTGCCTATGCTGGCCTTAATACACTTGAATCTTACAATTTAAGATCGAGCTTAAATGTCACCTCAGTGGACTGTCCTCACAGGAACCCTTCCCCATCTTTGTGTACACTCAACACACATTTACTGACCACCCAGCCAGTGGTGGCAAACCTATGGGACGTGTGCCACAGCTGGGTGCTTGCAAGCTCTAAAGGTTTGCCATCACTGACCTAGACAATCTGGTCTCAGTATTATACACACGTATCCTTGCAGCCAGATCACCCTGAGTTGGAACTCCCACCCCCACCGTGTGGCTCTGGATAAGGTACTTGCCCTCTGTGAGCTTCTCTTTCCTCTATTTCAGTGGGCTGTTGCAGTGAAGAACGGTGCTTGGCACACCACACCTTTTCCACAGTGGTGGCTATCACATGCTATGTTCTACAGATGTGAACATGAAAGGGCAGGGCCCTCAGCGAGTTCTACTATCAGGTGGGAAAGCAAAGCAAAGCAGCAATAATTTCCCTTTTCACCCACGTTTGCGGGGTACTTGGGTATTAATTAAAAATACATTCTTCTCCACTGTTGTAAATGACTTCTTCCTCTGACTTGGTACTACTCTTACATTTATTTCTTCTCCCCTCCTTCATCACCCACACAATGAGTGTGTGTATTCAGGGCACAATACGCGCCAGGCGAGTCTAGGCTCTCAGGCTACGGCAATACACAAAACAGTCTCATGGGAACTTTGCGCCACCTTGCAGGTTACTGCTTTACTAGCAAATATCTAAGGGAAGTCTCTCAAACATTTACTAAAATATTGTACATTCCGATGTTACTCTTCTACAGCTAGAACTGGTTTCTGGCTGACTTGGGTGATCACCAAGAGCCCGTACTATCACAAAGTGCTATGGTAGAATAGTAGGATTTATTGTTTATCCCTCTGCAACTGATTAGAGATCCAACAGGGACTGAGGCCTGGACATCTGAGCTTTTCTGCCACAGAGGAGTAGCTACAGTACATGCATGCGATTTTGATACTTCCTAGCAAGTGGAATTCCAACTAGAAACGAAGATTTGCTAACAGCATCCATAGAACACCACCTTTTAGTTACTAAGCCTTTCAAGTCATGTACCTATATATAAAACCCTAAAAGCTGCTCAATGACTCTGAAACTTACTTTCTTTTAATATTTTTCTTAGAAGTAGGAAAGAAAAACTTCTGTAAGTTAACCACAAGAGTATCAGGATTAGCTCACAACCCAGACTAATAAAAGGTGCTTCCATAGTTTTCAATGTTTTGGAACATCCGGAAAGCTGAACAATCCTAACAAGTACTGTACTGTCTGTGACAGCTGTAATAGTCTGGTTTGACAACGGATTGCCTCTTCTGACAATCTTTTAAGTCAAACTCTTTTGGCAGACAATGTTTCACTCCAATGTACATTTAGGCAAAATGTTTTAGTGTTATCTTTAACAGGCAATTTTTACCTTTTGGTTCTAACCAACTTCCTGATTATACCCCAAAGTGCTCTACACACAGACCTGTGAAGACCTTCATCTTCCCACGTGTCCTTTTCTCCCTCATTCCTAGTATCTATTTTTCTGTCCTTGTGAAGGCAAGGTTGAAAGATAGCAATTAGTGCTAATACTGGATTCCTTAGACAGCGACCAACTGCTGCCATCTACCCCATCTGCACACCACGTGAGGGTATCCCTAAGCCACTGCGCTGCTACTACCCAGCAGTAACAGAGCCAGCACTTGGCCTCAGCTCCCTAGAGACGGGCTGTGGACCTCAACGAGCTTTTAGCTTCTTTTTCTAAGTAATGGAAGGATTCCACAAAGTGAGAAATTCCCATTCTTCCAGGTCACAGAAACTTCCTAGATTCCTGAGACATACCTAATCACCTAGCACAAGCAGAAATCAGAGCCCAGAGCTAAATTACTGTTTTTGAAAATGAAAGTTTTTGCAAATTAATGTTTTGAAAATGTTTAGAGTATGTGGCAGAATAGTTCTCTAACAGGGATCTAATTTTAAAGTTTTCCTTCTACAATAAGAGAACTCTATCATCTCATTTATTCTTAGCTGGGTGTGTGTGTGTGTGTGTGTGTGTGTGTGTGTGTACACTACAAAAATAACTAATTAAATAACACTTTCCAATAACAAAAATTATGTTTTGAGGGCTGGAGGTGAAGCTCAGTGGAAGACACTTGCCTAGCATGTACAAGGCTGTGGATTCAATCCCCAGCACTGAAAAAATGAAACAAAACAAAAGCAAAAGCAAAAGCAAAAACAAAAACAAGAGAAACCATCTTATACTACAAGACAGAAGGAAAAGTATGGCATTATCCTTTAATACCAACAAACTCAGAAAGGAGATACTCCAAAACCAATTCAAATGACTGCAGGTGTTTCAATAGAATTTACTGTTTTATATTTATCAAAGTGTTCCTAAACCACACTTATGAGCTGCATGAACTGCCAAGCATGATTCCATGTTTAAAGTCCTCCCAGGAAATGCTAAAGAAGGATGAAACCCTCTCCTCAAATTAGCTCATGAGTGTGGAGAGTTAACACTGGAGGTCTATTAGAAGCTGTGTGATACAGTCCCCTAGATGACAAAAAAAAAAATTGATCCCATAGCACACACTTCGAATACCTCGAGTTTAGGAGCTCACTTCATTAAACAACCACTATGGGACACTTCCTCCACAAAAAGAACCCAAATCTGCCTTGCTCTAATGCAATTATCTCAACTGAAG